ACAAAAAGTATTCTCGTAGCTTCGTAAAATTACGGTTGAACCTCTGATGTCACATTGATTATTTTACCGATCTCCTTGCTACGTTTCTGGACCTTGATCGTGGTAATTACATTACTGTCTATGGGAGGGTCAGAGAGCTGTCAGAATGCATAAAAAATATCTTAATCTGTGTTCCGAAGACGAACGGAGGTCTTACGGGTTTAGAACGACATGAGGGTGAGCTTTTTGGGTGAACTATCCCTTTAAGGTACAGAGTTGTCACTTTAAGGGTACTAGTGATTGTTGTTGCACCCTTAAAGTTACAATATTTTTCTGAGAGTGACAGAATGTACCCAGCAGTTTCACCTCAAAATGGCTGACAGCAGCTAGACTTTCACAGTGTGTGTAAAACTCTAATGTAAGCATAAACTAAATTCCAAATGCACAACCCAAATGGGAATTGTGAGGAAAGCTCATCTGTAGACTTACAAATCCATTTATTAGTGCTAGTGATGACATTTATCTAACCATGGTATGCTGATGTCGACTTTAAAGAGCGGAAGGATAAAGACCGTAGAAAATACAGGTGGTGGAACAATTTGAGAAGATAAGTCTCTGTAACCATGTTCAACCCTAAAAAATAGCTCAACATTATTCAGTCCCTTGATCTTATTGATGAATAATATACTGATAAGAAATCATTGTCTATATTAACTGCTAATTCCTTCAAAGAATTGTTTTACTTAAATTGAATTACTCATTCCTTTGTTTTAAAGTATAGCAGTCTTTCAAACCCATTCCTTTGCAATACTGTAATGATCAGGCCAGGAACTAACACAGACGCAATGAAGGTATGTAAACATCTCTGAGTTTTGTCTATATTAATTTACCTATTCAGAAACTCTCTGTCATCTGTGTTGATGGTGGTGAGCTAAAGGCCCAAACAATTCCAATCTCCTCCCCTCTCTCCAGCCCTCCACGGACAGACAATGGATCATTCACACTGCCCTGCCTTCATGCCACTGTTTGGCTTATGGTAAAAAAAAAAAAAACATTAAGGCCGCGTGGGAACTTTCCAGCCAAGATGATAATCAGAAGGGGGAGGGAAGGGAGAGGTACAGATACAGGATACAATAGGCAACAGAGACTTTATTTACATCTCATATTCCCTCCCCAAACAAATCAACAAAAACATGGGCCTAATAAGACAAAGCTGACAGAGCTGGTGCCATTACACTCGATGCTAAGCTAAAGCTAACTGCTTTACTTTCAGTGTCTGTGCATATGTGATGTATATACACTTAAACATGAATGCAGTTCATGGTACAAAATGTTTTTGTTTTGTTTTTTTTGGTCAGTGTTGTAATGATCATGAGATTATATTACTATCGTTATTTTTACTTGAGAAAGTGAACACCAGAACTTGGTGTTGATTTGTAACTAAGAGACCAACAGCTGTCAGTTTACAAAAATATGTTACAGTATAAGATTAACAATACAAATTGTACAAGAATGTAAAATGATCTACA